AAAAAAATAATATATTAAAATAAATAAGAAAGAAGCTTAATTCAAATTGATTAATGTAATTAAAGTATTATTATTTTTTAAATAATTTATTATGATAAAAGAACTAAAAAATTGGAGCAAGTTAATAAAAATGTATCATATAAAAAAATAATTAATTAAATATATATATTAATCATTTAAGTATTAATTGATAATTATAAAATAAAAAGATAATAATTTTTTATTAATTTAAATGAAATTATTAATGAATTTAATTTTATGTTTTATAATATATTTGGATTTAGCTATATTATTTAAATTTTTATCATAAATTATTTAGATCCTTTTTTTTTAAATATATATAAAATAATATTTATTGTATTTTTTTACATTTAATAATAATTTGTTAATTAATTAATATATTATACAAACATATAATTAATCACAATAAAAAAACTGATAATATTTTAAATTAATATATATATTTTTATTAAAATAATTTTATATATATTTTATTTTTGTATTTTTTATAATATTTAATTATTAAAAAAAAAAAAATATATATTTAATATAGAATCTTTGAAATTATTATATTTTACTAAAGTTTCTAATATAGAAGATAAATATATATATATATGTATTTATTTTAACTATATAATTTATTTAAAAGTTATTATAAATTAAATATGTATGTTTTTTTCATTAAAACAAATATTTATATTAATAATTATATATATAAAATTATATGTAATTATAAACAAAGATTTTTTTTTTTTTTTTGAATAATAACTTAACTCAAAATAAATAAAAAAATATATATATGATTGATTATAGATTTGTATATTATTTATAAAAACAATATATATTAATATTGATATTTAATAAAAGCAAAAATTATTTTATAATGTAATTTATTTAATTCATAATAAAAAGATATTTTTTTAAAAAAATTATTATATTTAATTTGTTTTTATTTTTATAATTTATATAATAGGATTTAATTAAAAAATATATATGATAAAATTTAAATATTATAAAAATAAATATATTTGAACAAAATATTTCAAATTTAATTTGTATAAGATATTATTAAAAAAACAAAAAAAACAAAAATAAAATATAATTTTAATTTCATTTAAAATTAATAAATTTTGATTTTTTTTTTTTTCAAATAAATTATAATTAATTTGATATTAAAAAATAAAGATAAATAATAAACTATTTATTATTATATAAATAAAAAGTTTATTATTAAAAAAATTATGAATTATATTATTAAATTATTAAAGCTAATATATTTAAATTGTAAAAATATTTATTAAATTATTTATATATAAAATAAAAATTGTAAAAAATTATATAAGTATGTATGATTTTTTAGATAAAAATTTTAAAATAAAAAGATATTTTATTTAAAAATAAATAAATTAAAGTATATATAATATATATTAAAAGAAAAAAAAGAAAAATTATAAAATTAAAAAATAAATATGTAAATAATTAATATATTAAAATAAAAATAATAAAATTAATATTAATATATATATATTTATATATATATTTATATAATTATATATACAAATATTTTTTATTTATATATTTTTATATTTTTTTATATATATGTTTTATTTTCTTAGTGGTTATTTTTACATATATTATAAATATAAACATTCAAATATTTTTTTTTTTATAAAATTATATTCATTTTAATAATATAATTTATTACATTTTTTAATATTTTATGCAAATAGTTTTTATAAAAAATTAAATTCAATTATTTTTATATTTAATAATAAATTTATAAAAAATAATAATTAATGTTAAAAAGTTTAAGTATTATCAATATAAATTTTTACCTATTAATTTTTACTTATTATTTTATAATTGAATATATTTTATTTGATAATTTATGTTGTTAGATTTTCTATTACATTATTTTTTATTATGATAAATAAGCCTTATTTTTCTTTTGTTTTTTTTCTTTAGATTTTTATTAATTTGAAATTCAAAGTATATATAAATATATAAATGAATATTGCATAAAAAAAAGTATACAATATTAAAGTTAATAATACAGTATTTCATATAATGTAGTTATCATTACAAATTATAATTTAGATAGTATTACATATAATATAGTTATTTTTATAAATACAAAAAATAATATAACATCTAATATAGATAGATTTAAATCAAATATATGTTGTTATAGTTATTATATAAGATTTATTTTTAAATTATTGCCTTATTGTTAAGATTAACATTTAATTTATAATTAACTTAATTTTAAAATAAGTAATTTAAATAAAAAAAAAAATTGTGAAATAATATTTTTTTAATTACAAAAATGTTTGTTTTTCTCTATATCAATAATATATAGATTCTATTATATAATAATATTTTATTTTTGTTTAAATTTAAAAGCAATACTATACTGTATAATATTAATAGTATGTTATTTTTATTTTAAAACAAAATATTTAAGCATATTTTTTTTTATTTTTTTTTATAAAAAAATATAACAAATATCCCCAGAAATTAGAAAGAAAGAAATGACTATATTTATATATAAGTATAAAAGATTATATATATAACCAGAAATATAAGAATTTATTTAAAAGCAATATACTAAATGTAATAAGAATCTATAAAAACGGACTATTAAAAAAATTTATAATTAAATGAAAAATCAATTAGCCAAAAGAAGGGCGGGGGAAAAAAATATAACACAAAATTAATATACGAATTATTATATAAGATTAAATGATAAGTTTATGTAAATTAATAAATAAAATAATAAAATAAATATAAAAAAATAACTATATTGACATTAATTGAATTAAGAAAAATAGATAAATAAACAAAACATATAATAATTCAAATAATACATAGAAAAAGAAAAAAAATCAATTAATTAAAACCATATAAAATAACATAAATAATAAATAGAAAAATACTACTAATATAACTAAGGACATAGTAAATTAATTATAGTCAAATAATAAATATAATATAAAAATAAGTCATAAATAAAAGGAATAAGGGGGAGGTGTTCAATACTCTTAAACAAAATATATAAAATAGAGATATATTAAAATGATATGAGATAAAATATATTTAAAGAAAACAAAAATGCCTAGAAAGACTAGAGAATACTAAAACATAATCGAAAGTAATAAAACTAGGTAATTGGAAATGTTAAGTAATGAGTGAAAAGATGAAATAGAAAAAGAAAGAAAAAGACATTAAAGACAAGAAGAAATATAATGAGATGAAACCAGATATTATATTTTATATTTTAATAATAAGATAAATTTTTATTGCTATTATTATTATTATTATTATTATTTATAATAACTTTAAAAACTTGGTTTTATATAAATTAAATATATTAAAGGGTTAAAATAAAATTATGAGCATAAAGTCAATAATATTGAAAATTATACAAATTGAAAAAATATATATATATTATAATATTAATCAAATACTTTTTAATTTTATTTAATAATAAATAAAATAATTATTTTTTTACATAATTTTTTTAATCATTACTCTTATATAATATGTTTATTTATTCAAAATGTATTATTATAGTTATAATGTTTGTCTTAATAAGAAAAAGAAAGATATATTGTATTTTTTAGTTAATTTTCAAATATTTTAATTTAAAAATAAAATTAAAGGATAAAAATAATTTAATTTAAAAATAATTTTTATGAGAAATTAACAAAGATCTATTTTTTCTTTTTATTTAAATTTTTTCTTTTTATTTTAAATTTTTTTTTTTTTTTTTTTTTTTTTTTTTTTTTTTTTTTTACAAATTAAAAAATGAAATTATTTCTAAAATTATATATTCTATGACGATTGACATTAAACTAAATATTTTTTTAAGTTTTTTTAGAAAATAATATATAATAATATAATAACAAAATAAAATAAATATAATTTTAAATCTTTTTTATGGTAAATTATTAAAATTACATTCAAAACGTTTATATTGTATAAAATTAATTCATTTATTAATAACTTTTGTGATAATTATATACTATAAATATATAATATAAATAAGCGATTAATTAATCTATTATAATAATAATTATATACTTATATAAAAAATATTTTATTTTATATTTTATAATATATTAAAAATAAATATTTGAGATAAAATAATTTATTTAAATAAAAAAAATCATTTATAATATTTTTTAATATGAATTATATAATAAAAATATATAATATTTATAAAACATTATAAAATTTAATTTGTGATAAATTTTCTACCAAAATAAATTATATTCATTACTTAATTTTTTTTTTGTGATAAATTAAATGCAAAGATAAATATAATAATTTTTTAAAAATATTATAATAAATTGTATATAATTAGCAAATATTTATTTATAAATATTTTTTATAATATATGTTTAATTATAAATAAATAGAATAAAATAACACATATAACATTTATTTTGTTATATATTTTTTACTTAAATAAATATATATATCTAATTTTTATAAATAATTTCTTCTAAAAATAAAATTTATATTTATTAATTTAATTTTGATTTAAATTAAATATTTACTAAAAATATAAAAAATTACTTTTAAATAAATAATATTTTGTCATAATTATATACTTAAATCAAATATATCATATATTTTTTTTTTTTGTTATTAATTATATAATTTTGATAAATTCAAAAAAATAAATACATATTAAACACAAAAATATATATATTTAAATACATACAATTTGTTTAAACAATTAATTATTAATATATATTTTATATAAATAATATTTAAAATGAAATAATTAAAAATCAAAACTAGTTAAATTAACTTAATTATTTTATTAGTTTTAGTTTCCTAATTAATATTAGGAGTTTACAATCATACATGTAATCATGATTCTGAATTTGATTTCTCATAAATAAATAACCAAATAGAATAAACACGAAGAATACTTAAAGAAAAAGATCTTAATAACACATAAAAGAGAAATTTATAGAACAACTTTCCTTAATAAGCATAACCTATAAGAGTAACTATGGATTTTTCTTTAAGTAAGATAACTTAAGATACTGAATACTTAAAAAATCTAATGTAACATATTTAGGTTTATTTGTAATAACTATTAAAAGTTATTCCTGCTTAAGGACCTAATAAATTTCATAGTCAAAAATGTGATGAGATAGATGTTCCTGAAAAATACAGAACAGATGGTGAGAGAAATTCTGATGTACATATTTGGGTAGTTGAAAGTCATAATACAAAAAAATTTTTAGCTAGTGCTGTTTATTGCTAATTGGATAATACTTTGAAAAGAGTTAATTATGGCATAATTAAAGTAAATATGAATATGGCAGATTAAAATTAACATAATTCTGGATTTAAAAAAGATTTAAATAATCTTTTACATGAATGTTTTCATATTTTAGGATTTTCAAGTGGGTTATATGAATATTGGGTAAATCCTTTAACTGGAGACTATTATGGCGAAGATATAAAAAATATTTAAAAACAGTTACTATAAGGAAAAGAAATTTAAACCTTGTCTACACCTAATGTTCTTGCACTGCTTAAAAACACTATAGTTGCCCTACTTTAGAAG